TGCTCTCCCGATCTAGCCGTAAGAAATAGACCAATCGTAGTCTAATATAAGAAGAATAATCGATTGTAATTGGTCAATATCTTACGGCGTAAGGCTTTAAGTCCTTATTGTGGACCGACACTAACAAAGCTTAAGCACAACATAAGACGGCTAGACCAATGAGAATCTTATGTAAATCAATATGGCGACTTTATGCTGGCTGCTCATTGGTCTAGCCTCTTTGTGCTATGCTTATGCCGCATTATGCATTTCATGTGCTTTGGATCTAATAGCATATTCGATTTGTTGACTCGATCCGACTCCGAGTCGATAGTTTTTTTTTTTTTAGCTATAAAAAAATAATTAAATGTACAAGAAACGCTAAAAAGAACAGACTATTTTGACTCGGAGTCAGATCGAGTCAACAAATCGAAAACGCTATTATGTCTATGGAATTCAATTGATTGCATACCCACGTTGCTGCTGCGTCCGACTGCGCATGCGTTAACGTCATCGTCAAAATAGTCGTATCGCGACGCAGAACGAAGGATACTCAAGTTACTGACGTGTTTGGCGGCCAATGAGAGATAGTAATTTCGTTCGTAGGACATCTCTTCCTCCCCACTCTACCAGCATCAGTGGTGGCACCCATGGTGTAAGAATACATACACCATGGTGGCACCACTGCCGCACACTCTGCAGTTGCAGGCCGCAGCAGAACAACATCGTCAGCGTTCGGCCATTATTGCTGTTCCCGTTTGTGAATGCGCAACGTTCCCTGCGATCGACGCAGAAGCACACGAGATCTCGCTCACGGACCGAACTCAACGCAACACGCCGAGATGCGTCCAGCAGCGGAACTTGGTCCGGACGCAGCGCCGTTCGTTGCCAAGCTTTGGATAATGCTCCAGAAACCGGAATACAACGATTGGATTTCCTGGTCACCCGTGAGTATATTCTTGTTTACCCGCTTCGTCCGCGAAAATCCGAGCTGCCACTATTCCGCGTAAAGGCACATGTAGCAATAGGGTCGGTGCCGTATATAGCAGCCACTCTTCGATTCCCGTTCGCCTCGCTGGCGAGTAACAACGATCGCGTTAACAACCGCGTGAACGACGAATTAACATCGGCAACAATCGCGCCGAAAACCACCGCGCCGACAATCACTGTGCCGGCGATCACACCGCATCGACAAAATTTCGTTGACAACAGTCGCGTTGATAACTGTAAACTAATAAACATCGATAAACGTGTACTATCGAAGCAACATCGACCCGCTACGGTGCACCTTCCATTCCAAAAACAGCATCTTATTTGCGTCGCGTTTTGCTTGAACTCTACGCTGTACGCGATTGCTATTAATTCTCGTGTGCTACCAATTGTCGCTTGATTGTATCGACGCTTCATTACTCCCATCAAAAGACCGCTGCCGATCTCTGTGACCTTTTTTGTTTTATTTTTGGAGAGAATTTTGAATGCTATCTAACGTACAGTTAAATACGAGTTTAATCAGGGTGTCGGAGGTGGATCTTCTTTGGAAGGACTAATTTCGACTATTATTATTTTGACTTACTATTATTATCATGTATTATAAATAAGATGTATGATAAATGAAACAAATCACGATATTGTTTGTAAAACTTAACATGGTTGGTTATGTATTTGTAATACCGTGGCTCTAAACTACTACATAATTCAATTATATTTGGACTATTAGATATTTCAATTGTTGTAATACCACGTAGCTCTGGACTACGTAATTCAATTGTATTTGGACTACTAGGTATTTCAATTGATTACTACCTAATTTAATTGGATCACATACTATTACATAACTAAAATATTATTAGGACTCAGACATGAAAGAAATATAATGAAAGAAATAAGGAACAGGGAATTGAACATAAAGAATTAGTCAGATGATAGAGGCAGATAATTTTTCGCTCTACTCTGACTTGCCTGATTTCTTATGTTCAATTCCTTGTCTCTTATTCCTTTTATTATGCCTGTACAAATATATATAAATAAAATGTGATAAATGAAACAAATATATTATTTGTAAAACTTACACAATTGGTTATGTGTTCAATACCATGTTGCATTATAAATTCGAAGCATTCACATTAGTAGATGCTCAGAAATTTTGTAGTATATTACATCAGAAAATTTTGTATTAAATTTGCCAATTGGTGATATGGGCTATTAGATCTCGCTCATGTTCAAATCAAGACAGAATCAATAAATTAGAAAATTTTTTAACGATACTAGCGCCCTCATTAGATATGGATAAAACAGTAAAATCTTGTTCAGTTTAGGCTTGTTGATTTCAGCTGAACTTTTTGCACGATTTATCTTTTTTTCTTTTCTCTCCATGTTGGAAAAAAAGAAAAAAGATGAATGGTGTGAAAGTTAAATAAAAAGAAACAGGCCTTTTATCGGTCCTGCCTAATAGCGAATTCAATCGGACGCTAGTGCTCACTCAGTACATTAATCTTGTGGACGCTGTTCTAATCTCAATGTTAAAGTGAAATATCTCGAATCATAAAATGACTAATACGTATTTTATCAAATAATATAATAAAATACTATTAAGACTCGTGACGGATGTATTAAGTTGGCACTCCCATGTTTCAAAATCATATTTCTGATCAAAGTTCTGAATTACTCAGACGAAAAGAAAGAGTTCTTGATAGTTTTCAGAGATAGTTCTGTCCATTATAACAACAAAAATATCTTGAAAAATGGGGGTGCTAACTTCACATTCAACATTATTATCAAAGAATTTTGAATAATTCATTTGATGTCTTTTGTCGAGTACTAGCGTTCCTATTATTATAATGGACAGAACTATTTCTGAAAACTATCAAGAACTCTTCCTTTTCAACCGAATAATCCAGAACTCTGATACGATTTCGAAACATGCCAACTTCACACATCCCGTTGCGCAATTTTTTTATTATATATAATATCTGCGCAGCAATATATCTTAGAACATATATTAAGTAATATATCTACATTGTTATTACAAGAGGTACAGAGTATGGATTCTGGACTTATATTCTTGAATCTATGTTATATACAAAATTATATAAAAATATAATATATGTAACGTATACTATAGTACTTTTATATGCAATATTTCTCGAAAATAAGATCTCAGGAGACACTGTAATATCTCGCGCTTCATTGGCTCAAGATAAAAAATTTTTAAAGATTTAGAGCTTTTTTATTGCGTAATCAATCAACATACTTGAAAAATTTGTTGTATAATACAAAAAATGAAATATTAAACTAATTGTAAGTCTGGAGATAGCGACAAATGAATTGTAGCAACAAATAAATCTCAACCACAAATGAATTGCAACTTTTAGCAAAATCTGATTGAATATATGCTAACGCTCTAATTCAAAATAGACTATAATTTGATATTTCGAGATTATAATGAAGTTTGTTCTTCTTGTTTGTTATTCTTGTCATTGTACTAAGCTGAACTTAAAACTTTTTACTTTGCTTTTGCCATACATATCTACATTATTTTAAATATATGAATGTACCTTAGTTCAACTAAAAATAAAACAGATCTATGAATGATATATGCTTTGTCATATTTTGATATACAAGATTTCCAGTACATAATTTTTTTTTTCCAGAATGGAGATAGTCTTATTGTTAAAAATCAAGAAGTGTTTACAAAAAAATTATCAAATTATTTCAAACATAGGAAAATGCCCAGTTTTGTACGACAGCTGAATATGTGTAAGTTTTTTTTTGCTATTTTTATATAATCTTTTTTAAAACATTGGTAGACATCAAAATAAGGAAACAATAAACAATATTTACTAATGTTCCTTAATGTATTAGATGGATTCCACAAGAAGGTATCTCCAGAAATGGGTGGCCTAAAATGTGATAAAGATGAAATGGAATTTGCAAATCCGTACTTTCGTAGAGATCAACCTCATTTAGCACAGAATATTAAAAGAAAAGTAAGTGTTGAAATGTTTTATGGTATGATAAAACATTTGATTCCTATTTTGTTCTATCTTTGAAAGACCTATAAATCTAAATTAATTCAGAAAAGTTTAAAAAAGTATACATACATATATATGTGTGTGTGTGTATGTATATATATATATATATATATATGTCTTAATTTTATTACTAATACATCTTAAATTTATTACTATCTTGTAGATGCATGATGTTCTTAAGTTTTCTGAAAATAGATCATTAAATATAAAAGAATCTTTTGCAAAAGTAATAAAATTAGTAATAAAATTAGTAATAAAATTAGTAATAAAATTAAGACATTTATAAAATATAATGTAATATAGTATAACATATAGTTCTTAATAATGTAATATAGTATAACATATAGTTCTTAATAATGTAATATAGTATAACATATAGTTCTTGAAATATATAAGAAATTTTTCTGTTATTTTTAAATCCTTTTAAGAAAAAATCAGAGAGGTCTGAAAAATCTTTTTGCAACGAAAAAAGATATAAGTTTAAATAAAAATCTGAATTGCAAAAAATTAAACGTTACGTTAATTTTATGTAATGATAATGATAAATAACTATGAAATTATATTAATTTTTTATTAGGTCCCAGCTAAGAAAAATCAAGTAACAAATTCAGTTACTTATCCTATAAGAACAGAAATGGATCAGATATTAGATGAAGTAAGAACCTTGAAAGGTCGTCAAGACACTCTAGATAATGCTTTAAAAGAAATGAAAATTGAAAATGTAACATTGTGGAAAGAATTAGTGGACATGAGACAGAAACATTTAAAACAGCAAAATATTATTAATAAACTAATTCAATTTCTTGCTGATGTTGTGCAACCATCAAGAAGTGTTAAGAGGCCATATCCATTAATGATAAATGATTCAAGCCATTCACAAAAACGATGCAAATTGTTGAAGGTAATATTGTAATTGCATTACTTGTGTTTATTTTTACATTAAATGCTACAATAATAAATATTTATTTCCGCATTGTAGCAGCAAGAGAATCCTGGACCAGTAATTCATGAGCTTGATGCATCGGAAGCTGTAGACTCAGATGTAGACTGTTATGAGTAAGTATATCAATTTTATACATATTACTTTTTTTAGTTAACAAATTCAAATTTTGGAGTTTTTTTTAGTATAATATATAAATTATATTTTAATTAGGATATATCCTTAACAGTTTATAACATGTATTTATATATCATATATATTCTAGGGCCATATGTATAATATTTGTTATGCATGTTACAAACATTATAATAGGTTATAAATGTATTGATATTAATATTTTTTTAATATTAATATATTTTTTAATATTTTTATTAGCCTATTAGAAACTGAATCTCCAACTGTTCAAAGTCCAGCAGAGCATATTGGAATACTGACAGATAATGCAACCACGGAAAATACTATTTGTGTATTTAAAGATGAACCGCCTAAGATGAACATAAGCACAGCTGGAATGAGACGTTTTTGCAAGGGCAAAAAGAAGTAAATTTAGATTCATATTTTTAAAGTCTATTTTTAACATTTATACATATAAGTTAATTTCTAGAAAACGAAATAATAATTTGGGCTAATTTACAATTACTTTGCGTACCATTTACTGCGCTGATTTTCAGTTTTAGCCAAATTATTATTTTTTGTTTTTTAATTATCAGTAATCCTGTTGTGATTTTAATTAAGTTAATTGCTAGAAGACTATATTATAGATAAAATATAAACAACATATAGATAAAATAAACTCATAGAACATTATAATAGGTACAGTATTTTCAGAAAATTGATTTGTGATGTAATTCTTTGTGAAATCTGCAATTGATTTTTGTTGGAAGAAATATCAAAAAACATAAAGTATTTCGATAATCTTATAAATTAAAAATGAAAATTGAACTTATTGTAATTTATTGCAATCTTACCTTAAACTTAATTACTAAGTATTGACCATGAAAATTTTTATTAAGAAAAATTTATTCAAAATTTTGCATGAAAAATTTACTTTTTTTTACGACAAGAAAGGAGTTTTGATGCTGTTGGGTGTTGCTATTGCTGATGTTGCTGTTAAAAGGAATATATTAGAGGGAAAATCGGGAAATCGATTTACTTATAAATTTATTTACTTATATTTATGATTTACTTATAAATTTAGATAGTTTTATTATAAATAGTTTGTTCTATTAAATACCACTCAGAAATCTAATATACATCATAAAGGTTATTATTGATGATATAATCTATAACAAATATACAAATAATTTGAAAAATCCAAATTACTGAAATTTGTTTTAAGCTAATATTTTTACATAACGATTAATTGCATTCAGTTAAAATTTAGTAATATTTAAATGTTAAAATCTTATATAAATTTTATTTATCTAAATGTTACTAGGAGGAAAAACAACATGCCTGTCAAAATTTTGATTCCGTCATTGGAGAATGGAAAAAAAACCAGGTTGATTAATTGTTGTATTATTGTATTGTCATTTAGTATTGATGTTCTAAGATTTGTCTGTAGCTAGAGCGTTATATTAAAGTTACTATGGTATTTCTTTGCATAAGTCAGTTTTGTGTCAGTTCTATCGTAAAGTTATGATCACAAATGAATATAACAACAAAGGTGATAAGATGGAGAAAGGCAAAGGAATACATTTTTAGTATTTTATCGTTATTTTCTGTGGAAAGCATATTAAATTCTTAAAATCTTTAATGAACCTATGAATTATTTCTTTTTCATTGTAGCTCAATATTTATAGATTTTTACTATGCTATATTTGTGATGTTTTCTTATATTGCATTGTGCAATATTATTTTTCTTAGGTTTTTTAATGTAAATTTCTATATTATTTTTACGATATTAATATCTTTTCCACTAATCAAACATAAAAATTATTTTAACATGCAATATATAATTAATGTTTATATTATTATTTTTATTTTTCTACAATTTGAATGAAATGCCAATTTGTTTACACATTTAAACCATTCAGAATTGAATTAGACACAAATTCATATAAATTATTTTTTTTTAATCAAACTGTCATCTTATATTATTGATTTTTCCTCTAGAATGTTCCTTCTAAATACGCTTTGATAAAACTATGATCTCTTCTTATTATAGAAAACATATTCTTTATATGTATATTGAGAGAAAAAGATAGAAAGACGAGATCTTTTTCTGCTATTAGGAAAAATTTCTTCAATTTATATATATAATTTCTGCATAATATTGATCTTTACATATTTTCTTTTTTTATTTTATGGCTATCACAATATTCTGGTATAATATATTGCATGAATTTTTACCTTTTATGTTGCTTTTGAACATGCACAATTTTTTACTGTATTACTAGAATAATATATATAAAAGAATACAACTATGATGTGGCAGTAATATATGTTTAAATGTTTAATAATTATATAAAGAGAATTTAAGCCTATATCATAAAATAAAAATATAAATTGGTCTTATATTTGTTTAGAGAACAACTGGATACGCTTATATCTGCCAACAAAGACGAGCCTATGACATTATTGAAAAATGAGTTCATTGATTCTAAACCAGTACCTTCAGCAACTGTGCGTAGTTCTAAACTCGCGGCAATGGCTGCAAACATTAAATCTCAAGATATCAATACTGATATGGATTCAGTTGATACAGAGATAGAAAATATGAAAGTTGTTCATGATGATGGGTCTATAATGAATTTACAAGAGTTAATTGGTGGCTCAAAAACGACCGATGATAGTAATAGTCAAAATAATGTTGAGAATATAGAAGACGATAGCAGTCTTAAAACGAATAAAATGCTTAATCAAATGGATAATGGAAGAAGTGTTTTAATGAGAAGTTACAATGAGCCATACAAAAATGGAACGATAAAATCACAGAAAGAAAATAACAACTATGATGTGGCCAGCACGAGTTCATCACAAGATTTATCGGTGAGCCGTATCAGTCCCTCTGATGCTAAATACAGGTTAGGCTCAACGTAAGTTTGTTTTTATTAACAACTTCCACTTAATTCTATAGTGGAAATTATTAATTAAAAAGAAGAGGTATTGTTTTTTTTATATGTTATATTGGATATGAACTTTTTTATTACATAGACGTAGATAAATTTTTCCATCTTTTAAAATAGTTTTCAAGCGATTTTCTTAGATTATTTTAAAAACAAATTATGTTTTATACAGTACAGTGCTTATTAATATATATATATGAAACGATGAAGAAATAAAGGTTTTATTTTTCTTTTTTTATGCATGTCATAAAAATTGTTATTTTATCTTATTGTGTAAATAATTATCTTTCAGGTTTTATCCTACTTGGAACTTTTTGTTTTTTTTTTTACTTTAGTAATACATAAATATTATAATTGTATTATTTTAATCATTATTAATTTATGTATAGGGAACAGATAAAGAAACAGGTGGAATCAACGCAACATAGCTTAACCAGTTATCTGCGTGACACTTTGTCGAATCTGAATAATAGTGACTCGAATTATGACCCTAATTCAATTGGTTTTTTACTTGAGGTAAAATATAAAGCCAAATTAAACATTTTTTACATGTTAGATAAAAAACTTTGCAAGAATAATAATTTAAGATTTCTTCATAGAGAAGAACATTTATTAAAAATGTTAATATTGATACTTTTTCTTTTAATAGTATCTTGGTGCAGATAATAATATCTTGGGGGATGATTTATTGAATTTGCCATTACCAATTACTCCAGAATTGGATCCAAATTTTGATTCCATAAAGGCTGATGATACAAGTAAGTTTTAATGTCAACAGTTCAGAAATTCAACTTTTTTATTTTAATAAAATTTTTTATATAATTCAAAGGTTTTCCATTCAGGGATGTGCGTGCGTGCGTGCGTGCGTGCATGTATATTAGTTTATTTTTTTTTGTTGTATTTGCAACTTTCTTCAAAATTCTGTTGAATGGAAAATTTTTGAATTATTTGCGCGCGCGCGCGCGCGCGCGCGCGCGCGTGTGTGTGTGTGTGTGTGTGTGTGAGATTACATATATATTTCATATATTTTTATATGTTATATACTACATTTTATACGTGCGCATATACAGGCCGAGTCATTTAAAATGATTTATTGATTTTTCTCGAAAATCAAGGCTTGTATAAACAAATGTTTTGTACCAAAGTTTTACAACTCCAAGGAGGACATAAAATTAACCTTCGGTGTACGTACTAAGGTCATATGGAGATCAACTTTAATTTTTAAAATGGAAATCCTTACTTTCGAAAAAAATAAATCAATGTTCCCCTTAAAGTCATAAATCTTTTGTACGAAACATTTTTTGATATAAACCTTAGTTTTCGAGAAAATTTAATGCGTTACTTAAAATGACTGTGTGTATGTGTGTGCGTGTGCGTGTGTATATATATTATACAGAAAGATGTTTTTTTTTTACATTTGTGTATTATAATTGTATCATAATGTGATTACGAAGCTAAGACTTTATTTAATTGTATAAAATTAATGAAATGAAAGAGATAATTTTAATTTAATCTACTGTTTCAGATTCTGCCAATGAATCTGCTCGTGGTCAACAACTTATGACATTTAATCCCAATAATCTCTACTACAACCAATCCATTCCAGATTTGATTTTCGAAAATCCATCAGAAACATCAGATATAGAGACAAACAATGTTGGCATGAATTATATGGATATAGAGGACGATACGATTCCAACTAATGCTATATTACCAAATAATATGAATTCGAAATCGTAAACACCGTTGATTACAGTAAGTTTTCCTTTTACTTCTAATACATTTTTAACCTTTCTCTTGTCTTTTTAAATAACTCGTATATGTATGTTTTTTTTTTTTTTTTTAAGTTTTATCATAAATTTAATGTATATTATATTTATTATCTTTGTTATAATATTTTACAATTAAAATTGTCTCTAAATTTTGAAAGTAAATTTCAAAATATCAATCAGATTATAAAAAGATACATTTACTTTTTTTTAACAAAAAGAAATTGCTAATAAATAGATTCTTTTACAGATTAATCACTGTCGTATCTAATTCTTTGATTAAATTTTATTTAGACTGGATAAACACAAACGATATCTTTAATCAGCAGAACAAAAAGGAATAAAAATCTCAATATATGTTTCGTAATCACTATGATTCTGTCGCTTCAACATGTAATAATCAATGTCATGTATTTTTATATGCGCTTGACACATCAAATCCATTGGATTTACATTAGAAAATCTAATCTGATTGAAAATAAATTTTGATTTGAACATTTAATAACGTAAAAGTAATAATATTTCCTTTTATATGTTCTATTAACAAAATTAGTATTATCTGTGTTTATAATTTCAAAAGAAAGTAATGTAACTATAATACAACTGTAAGTATTATTACACAATCACGTTTATTTTATTACAATAGAATCAAAACAATAAACGTATAGAAATATGAACGACAAAATTAGTAAGATTTTCATTTTGTCATAATTATACAGTCCATAATAAAATAGTTCGTAAATGTTTGAAATTTCAATTACACTTTACATTATGCATTATAAATTTATAAATCTTTATAACGAACTGATTATAATAAGATAATAATTATTTGATTTGATTAGTTTTCAAGAGATTCAAGTAATTAAAATTTTGCAATGTGCAATTGATGCATAAAAGTAAGCTTTGTTCACATCAATATTGCATGTTACGGTTGTATAACTTACATTACAAATCATCACGATTGCAAAATTTATGAAAAATTGATTTAACTGTAAGAAATCAGATTTTACAGTATATTAAAGATAAAAAAATGTGTACGTATGTACATACTAGAAAGATTAAATAAAAGAAAGGTTATTTGAAGAAGTACATACAAATTTTTGTTGTTGTTATTAATACGCTATTTTGATAATTAATGATATAATTTTGGAAATAAGGATATTTGTTTTATAGTTTACGTCATACAATTTACTTAAAGTTCCATGCGAAATCTTTATACAAATAACATTAAATTTTTATTTTACATTTAACGTTTTGCGCAAGATCTTTATACAAATAGTATTAGACTTTCGATAAAATTTTATTTAATATACATATATTAGCATATTATGCTATTGTTTACATAAGAAACTTAGTAAACTTTTGAAAATGAAATAAATTTAAAGTAAAATGTGTTACAAAATAGTCATGCACATGCGATCCCCTTTTATATAATATTCTTTTTTTATATATTATGCGTACAATGTACCTTCAAATCTACCTTTCTTTTATTTTTTCTATGGAAATCACTTTTAGATTTTCGACTACTTAAAAAAAGAATGATAATATAAAGAATATGGTGATGAACGTGTGATGTTAGAAAATATTCATATTAGAAGCGGGAAAAGCAATTACCGTTTTCTGTCATTCATGCTATTGATTCAAGTAGCACTTTTAATGAAAAAAACAAGAATATTTATTTCCTTTAACGTACATAAAAGCCAAGAAGGCGACTTTGTAAAATTGATTTACTATTTCGCACATCTTATGTTTTTTTCACTAACATTGCTTTCTACTCTAAGCCCATACCTTTCCTTACCAATCTTTTACTTATCCTACTCTTTTCGCTCTTTGTTTTTTTATTTTTATTTTATACATATTATCTAATGAAAAGGTATGATTTTTTCACTGTTTCTAACTTTTCACATTTTTTTATTTTCTAATTTCTGTGCATTTGAGTGAAATTATGGAAACAGAATTGATAAGTTACCAGTGCAAGTTACGATTAATTTTAATAAGTCCCGCTTTTCCGCTTCTAATGTGAGCTGTCTTAGTTTTGTAATAAAACAATACAATTTCTTTTCGTATTGTATATACACTCGTGTATATATTTACAATTTAGATTAATGATTTAGATTGATAAATTTGCGTATCTTCGTATAAGTATCTTTTACCATAAAAAGTGATAGTGCAAGATTAAGATTTCAGTGTTTTCTATGTATTAGAATTAATTATATATAGATTTTTGAATAACTTGGATATTTTTATGTATTTAATGTGGTTAAAATCTTTGTTTCTTGAATGTAAAAATACTTTTTTGAAATCAGAATGCTTTTGCACTTTTATTATAAATTTATGAAAACTTTACAATTTTCTTATTTCATACATAATTTAGATATTCTGATGTATACATTTTATAAATACGTGAAGAATATAATATGTATAATATAATATAATATAATATATATTCATAAAATATATTATATATATATATATATATATATATAAAATTATATATAATATAATATATAATTTTTATTATGTATGTATTTTATATATATAATTTTATGTAATATGGTAATTAACGTGTACATTATACAATATATATTAATATATAATAATTAGCTGCTAGCAGCTATGAGAGAATTATTTTTAACAAAATTTATTTAAATGGTTTTTAAAAAATATTTTAGTCATATAAAAAAAATCAAATTGAATTTCTTGCTTTAAAGGAGTAATTTATTAAGCACTGAAATCTTATTCTTGAACTTTAATAAGTTAGTAATCTTTAATATTTTCCTTAGTAATAAGTTTTCCTAATAAGTTACTTTATTAAGTTAGTTATCTTTAATATGTACAACAGTATATTAATCTGATAACAATGTATCAAATTTTGGCCCCTTTAACGCTATAGTATATGATAAATTGATTATTTGACATGTGTATCGATTATGTATGTAATAACTGTTTTGCTATCATTTACATTTATTTAGTGCACATCTACAACAGATTGCTCGAACTATATACGTATACATAAAACATAAGAAGTTAACTACACGTTACAGTTATGATATCCTTATCATGTTTCATTTTAATTTAGAGAAATAGATATCTTTAAATTTTATACCTATCACAAAAGTAAAGTATATACATGCTATTTTTAAATCTATGTAAGATCTGTTATATAATTCCATATACAATCAAAAGTTAACCATCTTCTGTCATAAAGGCTTGCATCCTAACTGTCTGAAATTTTAAGGTAATATTTAAAAAATGTATAGATATCTTCCGAACAAATATTTAATGTGATGAATTCTCTCAATGTGTGATAAATATTTTTTTATTTGATATTCTGAAAATTTATTTCGTAATGACCGTGCTCGTTTTGATGTTTCTCTACGACATAAGATGGTATTTACCTATTTAAACTCAAGTTTACGTTTGATGAAAAATATTAAGTGGAGTATTTCCAATTAAACAAATGTATATGTTTTATAGTTGTGTGAACACTGCTTAAGATATCACAGATTGTAATACTTTTAAAAATTAATAGAAAGTGTAAGCGAAGAAATTAAAGATTATGATTATCACTTGATGTCGCGTTTCATGGTGGTAAATCAGTGTTGATTGCACTTAATATATGTACATATTGTAAGAAAGAACTATTGTTTAGGATCGATTAGGGGCCAGCAAGAGACAGCTAGATTACTTCCCGAAATATCCTTTTAAAACTACTTAAATAATTAATGTTATAACACAGAATCCCTACATGTGTGAATCTACACGCTATTTATATTATGGTTTATTGATTTGTACACCTAACATTAATTAGACTTAATATTAAGTTCTTTACTATTAGATATAGGATAGCTGTAGAGCTAAAATTAGTAGATTAGAAATACTTTTACTACTAACGACAGTTGTATTAAATCTGTTTGTTTATATGCAAATAAAATTTACATAACTGTTCACATGCATTTATCGTTTATTTAAACATTCCCTTCTTGTTTAGCGTATTATACAAACTGTCACAGAATAATTCTGAATACAAAGACGGTCACGTTATATCTGGTAACCATTTTATTCGTGCTAGAAACATTGTCTAAATATATTTAACATTTTTAAGAATATATTTGTTTTATCCTATTGCCAAAATCTATACATTTAATATATATAGAAATATTAATTTATTAAGATATTGTGTGTATCATTATCCTACAAATAAAATATTTAATAAAATTTAATAAAACATGTATTGCGCATAACATGTAACATAAGAACTTTTAAAAATTACAATTGCAATTTAACTAACATTGATATATGTTATAATTAAATAAAATACATATTTTCAAATGTGTGTATACATATATTGAAAAAATTAACTCCATTTTATTCTACTAGGAATGCTGTTGAAGTTTCTAATCACTGACAAATATAATTTGATTGAACAGGATTGTAAAATGTTTGTTCTTACAGATATATGAAACAATTCACAAGATTAAAAATAATAATACTTGAGTATCTTCATGTAACAAATTAGCAAATTACACAAAATTTTCTAAGTACAAAGATGATCTTCACTTTGATTGTTGCTCTTGGAGTTGCTTTTGGACTGATTCCTGAAACTGTTTCCTAGCTTCGCGATTCGCTTGCAGCAATTCGGTCAACTGTGCATGTATATCATCGTTTTTCTTCTCCAAATGATCCAGAGCACTTTGTAAATGCTCCAACTCGTCATCCAACGCCTTCATAGCTGCGCATAATATATTCATAATGTATATATATATATATATATATATATATATATATATATATATATAAAAGGGAAAGAGATTTTTTTTAATAATTTGACAAAATTATTCTATTAACCGTGCAGGGCACACATGGATCGTTCGTGTTCATGCCGTTTTTAGATCTTATTTTACTCTAATGCTAAAAAATAATTTTTATAATTTTTCCAAACTTTTTTCCCAATGTTTACATAGCAAAATAATTTA